GGCGCCCTGTACGTTGGGCACGAAGTATAGGAAACTTGCATGGTTAAAAAGAAGGGCGCCGCCTACGTTGGGCACGACTTCCGGCTCATTTTTACAATGCGAGAATTCTATCTTGTATTTCTAGTATCTTTGCCCCAACGCACACCATCGCGTCTGCGTTTAACCAAGGAGGTATTAAATAAGCTTATTTAATACCTCCTTGGTTTAACTAACACAGACCCGACGCGACAACAAATCGCGTCGGGCTGCGTTGTACGACGCTGTCTGAGTTAGCCTTAAGTTTATTAACTTCAAATTAAACATTTGAATGAGAAAAAAATTAACTGTTAATTAGTCTATATTTAGGGATTGTAATCAAAATAATGCTATATGGATAGACAAATCAATATTTTGGTGTGGCGAACTCGTCGTGGAGTCGGACGATGGGGGTCTAGGCCTGTCAGATTTGAATTCCCCACCTCCTCCCAAGGAAATTTCGAATGATGACGTCATTACACCAAATTCCAAGATGACGACAATCAAAATTAAAGGAAATGTTTACATGATTTAAATTTAATCTTTACACTACATTTTTTTTTCATCATCATTATACTATTTTGCTGTTCCTATATAATATTACTAATATAGTATATTGTTATTCTTATGCTTTTTTAAAATTATGGTTTTTTATATTTTTATTATTAAAGTTAATATTTTAGTAAGTCTGTTATTCTTACTATTCGATATTATCATCATCGTGACCTTAATCATCATAATCGCTTCATCTCTCTCATCCTCACCAGTGGCGGACCGTCAAGGCAAGCAAGGTATGCAGTGCATACCCTGGCTAAAACAAATAAGAAAATATAGTAGTACAGTTTCTGCGTTTGATTCAGCATTTCTTAGCCACAATCTTCTATATAAACCTTAATTTTTCTAGTGGATTGCTGTAGTTTATTGGAAAAGCTAAGTTTTTCAATGTTTGGCCTACTTTCACATCTAGGATAAGTCACATCATTCGGGCTCGTACTCTCAGCTGCTTGGAATTTCCGCATGACTGGTTTTCAATATCAACAAGTCAGAGCATACCCCGCAACGCTTAAATTTGCTATTTGCCATAGGTATTTGCTAAATAATCGTTTTAGTTGTCCCTCTTTGCCACTGTAATTTCTAGTTAAAATGTGAATTGTTATTCTGCCATGGTTAATTATTTTTATTAAACAGTTACTATTTTCCCATAGTATTAAATCAGAATAGCCAATTTAACCCTGGAATGGAAGCAGTGCTTCCAAGAGTATGTGCGCATGACCTTCACTGCCGATCGGGTATTTATCTATAATATGCCTAATCTCAATGATTAAAGTTTAAATGAATTTGCATGCATATAACCAGTATAGAAGAAACTTTGAATTATTATTATTTGAATTGAAATATGTTAAAAAGCTTCGATTAAAAGATTTCGAAATATAAGAAAGTAAAAGGAAAGGAAAGATAAACTAAGGATGAAAAGGAAAAGGAAAGATAAGGAAACATGAGAAGAGAAAAGAA